TAGTAAGGGGGTGTTTGGTTGCCCCTCCTAAATTTTGGTCGTTATCCCATCGAATGTTTGAACACATGCATGGAGTATTAAATATAGACTAATTACGAAACTAATTGCAAAGTTTACGACTAATTTACGAGACCAATGTTTTAAGCCTAATTAGCCCATGATCAAACAAGATTTTGCTACAGTAAACATGTGCTAATGACGGATTAGTTAGGCTTAAAAAAATTCGTCTCGGGAAATACTGACAGATTATGTAATTTATTTTTTTATTAGTATCCAGAAAATACCTCAAACAACGTCCATATACCGACTTACCTAATCAAATTTTAATCACAGGATCCATTGAGTCCATTATTAGCCACTGACACAAATATGATGTAACTATAATTAAATAATATATTTGTGGGCCTGCCAACTTGGCCTAGCGGTTAAAATAAAGGAGCCTCTCATCCTTACCTTGTTTAGATGAGCGTTAGAATTAGGTTAAAATAAAGGAGCATCTCATCCTTCGCTTGGACCTTAGAATTTTAGAGGATTTCAATCTTGTAGGATAGTTTTCTATGCACCTTTTGAACAAAAGAATTGAACAGTATAAAACTCCTTTAATCTCTGTTACATCATAGGTTTAGATGCCAATTAGAAAGATCAAATATGTGATAAATATAAAACTAATAGTATAAGTTGTGGCTAATTCGACATGAGCTAATAATATAACAATAGATTAATTAGAGTTTAATAGATTAGATTTATAATTATCTCATATTTAATCCTTCTAGTTAGTGTAAATATTCAACGTATGTAATTAGATTTATAATTATCTCATATTTAATCCTTCTAATTAGCATGTAAATATTCGATTTGACGAGGACTAAAGTTTAATTCTGAGATCAAATGTCCTCTTAATTGACCGTTTCGCTAAAATTTGACTGATGCCAATGCTTACGCTGATTGATTTGTTATAAGCGGAAAACACGGATCACTTGAAACGTAGTAGCGGTGAAAAACGGGGCGAAAGCACACGGATGCCGTTGGGCGGAAGGTACGCGGATGGTTCAAGAAATCCGACCCCGCCACACCCACCGGTGACCTCTGTGGTTCGGGCGGTGGGTGGTGAGCTTATCGGGCCGCGGACTGGGATGAGATGCCTGACTCGTCCTGCGCACACTTCCTTATACGCTACTCAAATCTCGCCACGTGTGTAGTGGTCGCCTTTCGCTGCACGCTGGGTGGAGTAGTTCCGCTGTTTGGTGTTGGCCGGCCCGTAGCGACGCACCGTGCGTAAGCGCTTACGTCATTCGCAATAGTATACTCCCAGAAAAGTCGTACAAGACAGGCATCGAGCGTGACGTGCGGACAACTGCCACCACCTTGCGTGTGGAAAGAAAAGAAAGGGACGGCGGCCATTGATGGCAGCAAAGGACCAGATCCGGTCGGCGCCTTGTCCGTTAGCTTTTTTCTTTTTCCTTTTTTAATAACCCAATGTCCGTTGGCTCTGGTGCACCAGAACCAGAACACGAAGAAAAGACCTGGGCTCGGGGCTGTGGTGGGTCAACGATTCCATATGGATCGGCTTTAGCCGACACGGCGAGCTTAAGCCTGGGCTCGATCTTGGCTCCAAGGACGCTCGAGCCCGGCTCAGCTGAACCGCTCCCTCTGCGGCCTTTCGGTTAAGAGACGCTTCTTGGGAGAGGCGAAGGCGATCCGTCGGCCCGGCGTAGGCTCTAGAGGGGGCTTCAGATGGGGGCGTGGGGCACGCACAGCCCTGGCGCTTCGTCTTGGCCCGGGCGTCCCAAGCGGCGGCAGAAGCCAGGCGGCTTCGGGGCAAGGAAGATGAGGAAGATTTCCGGTGATCGGCGAACCTACTATTCGTTAGCTTGTATTTTTTCTCTCGCCATGGCACTGCTGGCAGGGGAAGGAGATCCAGCGGTCTTGCAAACGACGACCGAGACAGCTCCCTAGCTGTTTTGGTTTTGTTTACTCCGCCCTTTTTTTCTTTCCTCGTCACGCTGTATCTGACACTTCTTGTATTTGACTGGGTGGGGCCTGCGAGCCAGCGACGCTGGTCACTGGGTGCTTGCCGTGAGAGTATGGTTTGGTTGGGACTCTCCGCCTCTTCCGCGTCCGGCCCTGGAATGAACCCTGCTTTTATATGCAGACTGAGGCGGTTTCGAAATCGCCAATGCTTAGAGGAGGACTAGAGGGAGGGAGCCTGGCATGATGTAACCCGAGCGGCGAGCGGACCACAACCCGAACCCGACCAACTCAAGTTCAAGCTCAGCTCAACGAGCACATACTCGGCTCGAACTCAGACCAGCTCGCCCGATATTCTGAGCTTCTTTTGCTACCCCTAATACGCAAGATATATACAACTTTGCTTTTTTGCTGAGCTGGAGTAAGAGTTTTCCACTCATTTTCAGTTGTCACTGTAAAAATTACTAATTACTGTAATCGTTCATCGTTAAAACATATTTGTAGTGAAATCAACCATCGGATGAGATAATCCTATTAATATTATTGGCTGAGTTCTTTTATTTGTTTAAAAAAAGATGCTTTTTGGCATTTGTATAAAACAATAAAGATTTAAATGAGTTCATATAAAAGAATTACACATAAACGTGTACAAAAAAAAACGTATACGTATATTAGAAGCACCATTATAAGAAGAAAAAAAAAACACGCAACTAGCTCTTTAGCCTACATATACATAAAAAAAAGGGCATACAGCTACAGCCTGAACGGATAAATTAAATTTATGAATTCAATATGGTTGCACAAAACTAACTGTGTTGTCTTGTTATATACAAGATTTAAATACTAGTCTATTTTGTTATATGTTTCACAAATATATTTTTTGAATCACACATTATGGACGCAATAGTCGAGACACACAGCCAAGCTCTATTTCTAGAGCACTTTTAAAAGATTGAACCAACAAACCTCTAAGATTATAAAAGAAGGCTGCAGCGAACTGGCGATAGATTTCAAAAATTCCAGAAAAATAAAGCACATATACCAAACAAAAAACTTAAGCCAGATGAATATGTTTCAGCACAAGAAATCTATGCGTTTCAGTAAATAATTGGCTTCTAATATATGTGTGCCTTTGTTATCTGTGTTCCAAACGTTTAGTTTTTCAATGTACCCGAGAGTTTTTATACCATCTCATTTGTTGGATTTTTTTTTTGAATTCATTTATTGGATTTCACTAATACCAACAAGGATACACAAGCACGCCGGCGGCAAAGCGATAACCACTTAAACTTGGTCAAACAATAACCTCTTAAACTTGGTCAAACAATCTGATGGACAAACTTGACGCAGAATTTCTGGAAGGTTTCGTTCGGTGCACCGGCCTGGAGAAATAAATGACACGTTCGGTGCTTTACTTTTGTCATGTGGCTTACCGATCGACATTTGGAAATTCGGTAGGCTCTTTTCGTCACGGTAGGTCTGCGGTGTGCCGTCCTAATTAAAGTCATATAGCATTTCGTCACAATTTCCCTTCAAATGACACAATGGAGAGAACATGGGGTAGGCCACTTTTCTATAAATATAATCAGATTTAGGCCTTGTAAATTAATTATTAGTATTTTTCACGAAACCGAACGAAACCAAGTGGAGAGAACATATCGTAGTATTTTCGTTTTATTTATAATTAATGTTTAAAAAATTCAGTGGTTTCAAAACTCTATAGTGGTACTATTTTTGAACGGAGCACCTACCTGCCCTACTCACATTAGTTTTTTCCGTTGGTTTAACGCTACCTGTCCTACTGAGAAGATTCAGCCTAAACTAATCAGTGTCAACAGTTTTTTAAAAAAAAATTGAAATAAACAGGACCAGCGTCATAAAAATTCGAACAGGGCGTGGAACTCTATAGTGGTAGTTTTTTGAACGGAGCACCTACCTGCCCTACTAACATGCATGTCTGGTTTCAGCCGAAGAAGCTCATGAATTAGTAGTCGATACTCGTCTTTTCTTTCAGCGACAAAAAACCAATCAGCTAACAAGCTCATGGATTGTCTCCATGGACGCGTGTTTAGTGGGTGTGAGGCCAGCTGGCAGCACAGGAGGGTTTTACACGATGCAACGTGCATTGTCGACTTGTCGTCGATCCGCACATTCGCACCGAAGACTGTCGACAACAAACGAGTGGTGGTCTCGTCTGGTTCGGTAGCTACAAGAAATACAAAACCGAACAAGCGCCAGATTTGTCAGGAATCAGTAGAGACGGTGGTAACAGGAAAACGGAGTCCACGAGGTCTTCTTTATTCATCTCGAGGGAAAAGAAGAAAAAAAATGAAAACTCTGACAACTGACTACTCCAGTATACGTAAAAGGTACACTGGCGCACCAACTACGCTCTTCAAATGCGAAAAGTGGGCCGGCCCAAAAGACTTGGTCATTGACATGCATTCTCATACTAAAGTCACCGGTCGAGTTTGCACTCTGTAGGCCTGTTCAGAGCAAAGAACATCCAGCTTTTGAATGCTCACAGGTTGAATCTGAAAATAGACCAAGAAAGGGATAAACTTTCATTTTCCATCTAGACCAAATCCTGCATCCCGATAATGCAGGTGAGACCATTCTTATACAGCAGCAGGTAAGCACTTAATATGTTTCTTAATCTGACTTGGACTCTTAGTATATCGTTTTTAAGACTGTTGTTTAAAGATTACTGGTAGTAGAACAACTTCAATTTTCTCCCCGCCTATATATGTAACTCAAAGCGGTATGTTTTCTTTTTGGTTTTTGCCTATTTACCCAATAATATGCCCTCACTCTTTAATGTCGCGCTTTTACACACAAAAAAAAAACCCCTTGCCCCAAGAGTTATTCTCTACAGTATATTGTGCCGGTGCCGAGCACGAAGGCTGCTGCCTGCTTCTCAGTTCTTTCTCCGTAAGCAATGCACTTTTTTTGAAACGAATGTAAGCAATGCACTTCATTCCCAAGAATTGACACAGCTCAAAATATTGAACATACACGGCATGGTTCGCGCCTCACAGGATTTGCAGAAACATCGCAACCATAATGGAAAATATCGCAGCTCCAAATGTTGCTGATGCAGTCCAATCTAGCATAGTTGTGGCAGCAGCAAGGCTAGTACTGGTTGGATCTGGCTTGATAGTGAGCAAAGTGAGAACAAACCCGGACATAAATGCTGATGTCAGTAAGATGATGCAAGCCTTCAAATACTGTATCTTGTCATGGCCATGAAGGAAACCTCCAAAGATACTGATAATTGCCATAAATGACCACATGGTGACTTTGATCCCCTTATCAGCCTTCCAATTAAACTGCTCCATCAGGTACTCATTGGAATTATTGTTCCTGGGTACACGGACACTGCGCTCAGGGAACAGGTAGATAGCAGAAGCAAAAGCCAAAGGCAGGAATGCAGCAAAGGTCCAGAACTCAACTATAGCAAAAACTTCTGCGAGGGCTGCACCAGACAGCAATAAAAGCATAAATATAATTATGAACCACATTGCTTTAATGATGGATCCCCGAAGTCTTGAGTTGTTGATCTCTAGTACCTTCGTCCGGATCTCCATTGAGAGAAGGCCCAAGATGCCAGTAGTAAACAAGATGAAGATGGCAGCGAGGACGGCACCCTTAGTGCTTCCTGAATAACCCGTGATGTTGTAGTTAACCACCAAGGCAACCAAACCACCAAACGCAGAGTTGCTGATGGCTGAAATAAACTTGAAGGCTGCCTCTAACTGCTCCTTGTGCTCATTGTCCACTTGTTCGCCGCTGCCCTCAACGTTGCGTCCAATGTACCATCGCAGAAAAGCAAGTGGTGTCATCACCAAACCAAGAATGATGAGGCCAATGTACCTATAGATCTTATACCCCGAAAGCACCAAGGAGCTAAGCAAAGTTAGCACAGGTAATATGCTGCACAACAAGGAAAGCCATTTGGAGGCCACAAGTTGGACATCAACAACAAGGTCTTCCTGGAGATCAAGGATGTTCTGACTCAGCAGCATCAAGGATAAACCACTGGTGAGACATGCAAAGCCAAGAAGCATCGGGATGATGTAACGCATATTGTATGCTCCTCTGCCATCTGGAGAGAGGAAGTACCACGCCACCATCATGCTTGCAGTAGAGGCAGCAATGAAAGCACCAAACTCCCTGTTCTCCTTGGCTTTGGCTGCATGGCACAGTTCCTTGATTGCACTGATGCCTTCCTCTGCCTGCAATTAACAATTTCATGGATGAAACATTATAGAATGCCATAACCCATGGCTCTATGGACAGGCATCAGTTCAGTCCACATGACGATTCCTAAATGGTTTCTGGTAGTTCAAATTAATGTCAAGCTCAATACATTTTTCGAAATAAAAAAAAACAGAGCTAGAAATCAGTAGTTGGTTATACTGTTTCAACCAGTGTGGTGCTTTACAAGGAAACAGCACACTGTCATGATAGCCCAAAATGCCAACATCAAAAGACCACGGACCTTCTAGAAATTCCTAGGAGAAACAACGAAATGAATGTTAAAAGATGATAGCAGTTCCATATTAAAAGGAAAACAAAGTGATTTCCACCAAACACTACACTACCGGTACAACGATTCTACTCCCCCCATTCACAAAAGGATGCAATTCTCACTTTTCGAGGAGTCAAATGATTCGAAATTTGACCAAAGTTATATAAAAATTATACAAATAACTACCACTATATTAATCATGAAATATATTTTTGTAGTAAACCTAGTTGGAGACAAATGTTAATAATATTCACTATAAACTTGGTCAAAGTTAAGTTAGTTTGAATTGCACATATCACATAGTTGCATTCTCTTGTGGACAGAGGGAGTAATTGCCAACAAAAGTGCAGCCAATATTATTATATAGAGCAAACAGTGATAAAAGGAATGTCCCAGTGCACAGCATGTCCAAGTTAGAAGACGAGCCACATATTCAACATGTAAGTTTCTGACAGATTATAGTGATATAAATAAAGTTAGAACTACCATAACTACAAGTTGAGATAAGAGTTGGACTGTTAGATAAAAAAATATAAAGCTATTTTACTCTTTTTTTTCTAACAAAGAATGCCGCAAAAAGTCATGTGATCCTACTTCTAGTCTCAATCTTTTTACAACCCAGGACCTTGGTGTCGTCAGGAACGAAACTTTGGTTACCAAAATTCATGATCCACTGCTATATTCAGCCGATCAAAATCAAGTTCGTCCCACAAATTCTTTGGTTCAAAATTCATCCGACCAAAATCAACTCCTCTCCCAACCCAAATTCTTGCCTACACCTGTAAACCAAGAGCGTCTGTGTATATCCACGTATTTGGATAAAATCAAAGTTCTTGAAATAATCAGATGGGGAACTGAATCGTCAGGCAGTTCGGAATTTCGGATCATACCTGAAGAGGGGATTGACCTCCCATGGAGGGTGCATCAGACCTGCCAGGAGCCAAGGGATCTAGCTCGGCACCTACCCTACATCGCTAACAGCTCCCGTCGCCGCCTCGTGCCTCCGTCGAGCTCGCGTTTCGTCCCCTTGATGATGCTTAATCCCCACGAGATAAAAACAACCTCTCCGACAGTAATCTACTCCTTCCCTCATCAGTCATCGCCACCGCCGCCCCCGCTTGCTATATGGTGCATGCGCCCCGCGCCTACGGTTTCCCTCGCCGCCGACGGATCGCATCGCTGCTCCTCTAGCGCTGCACCATTCACCAAAACCGAAGGTTTTTTTTTATGAACAGTAAAACGAAGGCATTTTCCTGTGCAGCCCAAGTACCCAACCCCTAGCGTCTGAAAATAAAGCCCACTTGTAATTGGGCCAAACTAGAAAAATAAGGAGCACGAGGCACGGCCTAGCACATCACTCTATACGTTTAGGCCGAATGGATCAATGTAAGCCCAAAGCCCAACACTTTTTTTTTGTCTCTCTTTATATATATAAATTCTACCTTCTCTTTTATAGTTTTGTGCGCAAATTTCTTTAAAAAACCACTTATATGGGTCCAAGCTATCTCAAGATTAAGCTACCCTTACTACTCTCTACATTAAAAAAATATGGGATGTATTAGTATTTCAAACCAAACAATATAAATTTGACCAACAATAATCAAATTATGCACATAGTTTAGTATGCAAAAGACGTATCACTAGATTTGTATTCCAAATATTTCAAAGGTTTGGTTTCATAGGAAATGAAATACAAGGTAATGGTTAGGCATACTTTAAAAGACTCGTACAACATATTTTTACAAGGTAATTTGAAATATCAGGTACCATTTTCTCAAAACATATTTTAAATATTAAATTTGAAAACCTGGATTACCTTGGTTAACTCGTACAAAATAATTCCTTGCAACAATTTTATTTTATCTTGTACTACAACAAAGTTTTTTTGGTCTAAATCTAATTACAAAAGGAGAGCGCTTGGCCAAGTATGAAGATGACACCTAATAAAAAGGCTACTCTCTTTTCTTTCTCACACACACCACGCACGCACGCACACACAACACGCACGCGCGCGCGCGCGCACGCATTCTAATAAATTGATGAAATGATCTAGAAGCATATTGACTGGTCGTTTACCGTTAGCACCCAAATAATGTTCCGGACACACAGGTGTCCCGATAGGGACTGGGACTTCCACTGACCGAAGTCAGTTGCGATTTTCGAGTTTGGAAAAGAAACATATCTAGCTACCTACTGTCCTCGTAAAGTTTGCGTCCGTCTCAAAAGGACAGACCACAGAGACGTGACAACGAACTCTGATGATGAGTGCTAAAAAAAAGAGTCCGACGGCGACGCGCGCAGGTGAAATTCGGCACAGATCGCCGGAGGGAGAAGTAAGGTACGGCAGCGGATTCGCGCGCATACCTTAGTGAGTGACTTGGCTGATGGCGGCGGCGGCGGTGCAGCGGCGGCGGCCTTCTTCTCCATCTCGAGAGGCGGTGGCGAACCTGCAGCGAGCGCAAGTCAACTGTGAAAGGAAGCACTTACTAATTTAGAAGTAAATGGTCACGGCAAGGGCGAGGTGCTCACCTCCTCCGCTGGGCTGATGAGGCTGGACGGGAGCGGCACGCCCCTCTTCAGCCAGGGTCTGCCGGTGCTCGTCGTCGGTCATGGCCGCCATAACAGGCTGGCACAACAAGGAAAAGGCTCAGCCACAGCATCATGCAAAAGGTGCGATAAAAGCATGAGCCTATCTACGGATGGACGGGGAACATGCGGTGGACGAAAAGGAGTAGCGGATCTGTGCCGGTAGATCCCAGCTGAATTCGGCACTCTACTCGTGTTCCTCAAATGGGGAACAAAGGCAGGCCCGATGGAGACCAACTCGATCAACCCAAGCAAACACCCAACATGTGGTCTCATGTGGAATATCGCTCAGATTCACAGCCTCGAAATTCCCGTTCAGCCGAGGTTAATACTCCGTAACAGAAGACAAGAATTGAACAAAGGAATTCGAGGTCTCCAGGTTGGATGACAAGAGGTAGAGGTCGACACACACAGGAAGAACAAAGTAGCTAGTGGCCCAATAAATTAATCAGTAGCAATCAATCCACAAGAAAGCTCACCTGCTGATTGGATGGATATGGATCGCCGTTCGCCGCAACCTGGGTCAAGCGAGAAGGCCGAGAGGGGCAGGCACAGCACAGGCTTTATAGGAGTGGCGCTCGACACTCTGGAAGCAATTGTCACGACACGATCGATGCGATGCGCGCGGGGACCTTAAACAAAAGCGAAACTGTACGCCGGGCCATGATGGCGGTCGCGGCCATGCGGGGTGTCCTGTCCGGATGACCGGCCCTCGATCCCCACCGGGCACCGGCAGCGCGGGGAATGCCAACAAAACCAGGGGTGCGGGCGGGTGGTGGCGAGGCGACCGCCGGACAGAGGCGTGGTTATAATAATCGTCGCATGTGCATGTCGTCCCACGTTCCGAGCCGGGAGTGGGAGGGGGACGCGCGCGGGTGCGGCTGGTGGGCAGCCCGTGCGGGTGGCCACGACGGTGCGCTTGGCTTGGATTCGGCAGGCACACACACGGACACGGCAAGCTCCACCGGCTGCTGTGCTGAGTTGGTGGCGCCCGCCCGTCCATCGTGTCGGGTCCGCGCGCGTCCGCTTCCGCCCCCGATACTTGCGCGCTTGTGTTAGGTGGAGACGGACACGCCGTGTTGCCGGCGAAACCTTGTGTGAACGGTGTGGTGTGGACACGCGAAAGACATCATCCAGCGGAACCGCACCTACCAGCCAAAGCATGAGGACGTGACGAGCCGCGGGTAATTTACTTGCTTTCTTATAAGCAGAGATTTAATCTCGTTTTTAAAAAAAGCTGCGGGTAATTTCGACAGGGGAGTTGCTTCAAAACTCTTTATGATTTTGTTGCACTCATCATTTTTTTTTTTGCAAATGCAAAATGGGATGAAAGGCAGCAGATAGGCAGCTTCTACCCTTCTACTACAAGCAAGGTATATCCGTATATGTCACCTGGAGTAGTATGTCACTTTTATATCGTTTTATATACAAATATTGCTATATATATATATGCATATCTACTAGTAGCTGGGAAGGAGGACTAATTTCAATCACAAACGAAGGTTATTATCATTGATTTCAAACTCTTGCTATAGCTGTTGTTATAGCTCGCTACAGCCTTTTGAGGCGGGTGTTACTATTTGTATTCATGTACAATTTAGCTGATATATCCCGCTATATTTTGATATAGCTTCACAATTAGCTGTTTTAGAGATATACCGCTAAACACCTTAGGCCGCTATTCAAAACACTGGTTATTATTGTTGGAACAATATTTTTCAGCTTGTTTTTTCTCTTGTAATCCGTCTTTTTCAGCTTTTTTTCCAGTCGGAACAGTATTTTTCTCCTACAACAAATTAGCCGAAACAATGTTTCAGCTTGTTTTTTCAGCGAAGCGAACGGAGCATTAATGTTACAGAGACACTGCTAGATCGAGGTCGAAGCGTGTGTGCACACACACTTCTCTCGTTGCTAATAAAGGCTTAAAAACGTGCTTAATTAGCAAGCCATCGTCGTCACGGCTTCTCCTTCGGATTGTCTAGCCCTGACACCTCCACGCCGTAAACAGCAACAGCAGTGCCCGTAAACAACGCCACGGTGGACCAGACCAGCACCCGGGCGACTGGAGCCAGGATCGCCGTGGCGGAGCCTGGGGCCACCGAGAGCACCATGAACCCGAAGCCCGAGACGAACGCCGAGGTGAGGACGACCATGAGGACGCCGGTGGAGGTGGATCCCCACTTGTCGCGGTCTTCCTCTCCGAGCGCACCACCGAGGATGCTCATGATGCCTCCCAACGTCGCCGCCGTCACCTTGCTCGCGATGTCCTCCAGCGCCTTGATCCGGGCCTCCTCGCCGTCTCGGTCGTGGCGGACGACGACGATGCAGTGCCGGAGAAGGAAGCAGAGGACAGCTGCCAAGACTAACGGCGCGAAGGCCGCAAAAACGCGGTACCTCAGAACCACGAAGGCTGCCGCGAACGCGGCGCACGCCAGCGAGCAGAGCAGGAGCGCGTTGGCGAGCCTCATGGCCGTGGCGATGGCGAGGAGCCGCCGCCTGCTGCATCGTCGTCGTTGGTTGGTGACCACCTTCGACACCGTCAGCACGAACACGCCGAGGATAGCGGTCGTGAACGTGAAGAAGATGGCGGCGTGGGCGGCGCTTTCGACGGAGCCCGCCGCCGCGCCGGAGATCTTGGACGCGCTGAAGAGGACGCCGATGAGGCCCCCGAACGCCGAGTTCGTGATGCCGCATGTCGTCTTGGACGCCGCGTCCAGCTCCTCCTTGACCTTGTCCTCGTCGTCGCACGCTGCGGCGGCCTCACCGCCGCCGCCGCCGTTATTCATGCGCCTGAGGAGCCACCAGTGCGCACCGGCGGCCGACAGGGTGACCGCCGTAACCACGGACAGTCCGATGTACAGGTACACACCGCCCGGCAGGAGCGCGAGTAGGCTGAGCAGCGTGAGCACCGACAGCACGGCGCATGCGGCGACCAGGCACTTGGCCGAGGTGCGGTGGCCACCCGAGACGAGGACTTGGCGGCCCATCATGTTCAGGCTGAGCAGCACGAGGGCCTTCCCGCTGAGGAAGGTGGCCAAGGACAGCAGCAGCGAGACGGTGAGGCGCACATTATTGCCCGGCTGCTTGGCCTCCTTCGGGAGGAAGAGCCCACCCAGCAGCACGGCGATACCGAAGACGGTGACCGCTGCTCCGACGTCCAGGTTCTCCTTGGCCTTGTGGCGTTGCTCCTCCCTCTCGCTGACAGCTGCGGTTGCAGTAGAAGCCGCCTCTGCCTGAAATGTAAGATACCAGGTGCTTTAGTCCAAACCGGCTGCTCCAACCAACCTGCGCACATCGGCACATGGATGCGTCAGTTAGTGCATTTACCATGCAAATTTATGTTTGGCCAGATCTTAAAATAATTTTCCTACATCCAATTTGTTTAGATTTTTTTTCATATATTCAAATTAATTGTAATTTTTTTATACATTGAATTTTCTTCTGGAATTTTAGCCTTTTTCGATATGGATAATTTACCACTCCATAAGAGCAGCGATTACCATTGTTACTGTACCATCACTGAAGTGGACTGGTCTGGCAGATAAGTATTTCGTAATGGAGGGGTTAATCAGTTATATTTGCCAATGTTTTGAGATATTTCAGTTCATCAAGGGTCAAGAGCTGTCCAGTCTAGTGGTCGAACACGGCGCGGTTGCTTTTCCGATCATCATTTCTGATCTTTCTGACCAACCAACATACTTGGTCCTGATCCTGACTCCAGACTTCCTGTATCCTGACTGCGGCAGTGAGACGGACCAGCTCTAAGCGGACAGGTACACTTGCAGGTTGACTGTGTGTTGGCCTTGTTTGCTCGAACTTACCAGTATTTTTCTCTCACAGCAAAACAGCTCCAGCCAACTTATCAATCGGCTTATGTATCAGCCGAACAGAGCTAGTTGACATCCCAGTTAGTCGTCGACTCAAGTCTATCCATACTCCACATCGTTGGATCTGCAATATATAACCCGTTTGCATTTGCATTGCTTTTGTGTCCGTCACGCGCGCATGCATGGCCATCATCGGTGCCGCTAGCTGATTACGCCTGTTCGCATCGCGGGATTCCATTCCCATCTTTGACGCGCGTGAAATTAGAAACCGGCCAGCGCCCAGCGGCGGCGTACGTACCTGGGACAGCGTCGCCGGAGCCGGCCGCGGTGGCGTCCCGTGATGGGGAGGACGGGTCATCGTCTCCGTCGGCCCGGGGATGGCAGGTGCGCGCGAACCGCTGCACACAGATGGAGTAGTCATAGGAACACGGGTCAAGAACAGCCCGGCCGGAATGAAAAATTATTAGTGGACAGAGTGGACCGCGAGACCGAGTTAAGTAGAAGTACACGCGATGCTCCGTCCTCGTCATCACCTTTTTGCTCAAAACAAAAAGTGTTGAACCGCGTCGGGCTGGACCGTGCGCCCGTCCTCGTTTGCCGCTTGTCCGTTTGTGACCGCCGGTTCTGGTGCTGTATTGTATCGAAGTGGCTCCGAATAAAGACTGTCTGATGTGATGGTAAAAATAAAAAAAAGGGTAAAATCTAATTTACACCCTCCAATTCTCGTCAAAGTCCGAATTTCAACCTCGAACTTCAAAACCGGATAACTTTGACCCTCCAACTCTTGAAACCGTTCAACTTTCAACCTTCTAGGCGGTTTTGACGTATAAACAGTAATTTTTGATATTTTCATGACGCGAAGTTACTGTTCATACACTAAAACCGCCCAGAATGTTAAAAGTTGAACGGTTTTAAAGGTTGAAAGTTGAACGGTTTTAAGAGTTGAAGGGCCAAAGTTATCCGGTTTTGAAGTTCAAGATTGAAATCCGGACTTTGGCGAGAGTTGAAGGGTGTAAATTGGACTTTATCAAATAAAAATAGCATACTACTGAGCATGAGTTTGTATAGGCAAAAGAAGTGTACTCCACTACTCCAGTAATAAACTAATATACTCCCATCACCTAAATTATAATTTATTTTAGCTTTTTTTAAAGAGTCAAAGCAAACCAAATACGTACTAGTACCGCTGTGTTATTGA